AAGGGAAAAATCACTGCTATGTCAATATCAGAATACATCAACTGCTTTTTTCTTTCATAGTCTTTGTTGGCATTGTTCTGTTAATGGAACTACTTTGATTCTTTTAAGGGCCAGATAGATTCCTGTGAATGGAGTTAGGAACCCAGCTCTTTCACTTTACTAATTAAAAAAGAAAATGTATTTCAAGTTCTAAACCAATGAAAAAAGTTTATTTTCTGAGGGGCCTTGAGTGATACTGTTTATATTGTTTCAAATTTGGTTTCCAACTGAAGTATTCCAATTTAAAACACATTTTGAAATTTCTTTTTATATTTCCAAGCTGCATCACTATAAGTACTGGAAAATCTTGAAGCATGTTATACACCACATTGGTCAGATTCTTACATTAATGAGAATGCAAGTTACTTGTACATTCTGGTGAAGTTAGCCGATCCCCTTTGCAGTGGGACAGAAGAAGTGATGGAGATGGGACCTATTTTCTTTCCCCAGGGGGTGTGCTAGAGGCTATTCACTGTCCTTTATATCCTTTTGCTTCTTCACTCATGACTGAACTCCAAACTCAGTTAAGCATGGAGCTGCCCACTGTAAATAAGTTTTCCAGTCTTCCCTATACCTAGTGGTAGGCCATATAACAAAAGTTCTTCTGGTCAAAGGATCTGAGTATAAGTGATGTACACTTTCAGTGCTCTTCCCCTTTCCTTTGGCCACGATGCTATCATATTACTTTAGACTTTGGTATGAGAAAGAAAAAAAAGCAGTTGGAACTACATGTCCGCCACCACACTGATCACCAGCTATCTTGTTTAAGCTATTACTTTAGGCAGCAGCCAAATCTATGTCCTAATAATTATAGAGAGAAGGTATATGTGGTCTGGAATCCTGAGATTAAGGGATTTTCTGATATGCATGAAAAAAGAAAGTAAAAGGGGAAGAAATGTTCAGTTTAGAGCAAGGAAATTTGTACTTCGACCTTCCTACACGTAAAACTTGGAACCATGAATGGGAAGGCAGAATTATGTAGTCCAGCTGAGTTTTTTTAAGAATTCACTAAGAGTATCATGTTCAAAAGCAGATCCGAGGCTGGGGACTTTTAGCTCAGTGGTTCTGCTGCCTGCCCAGCAAGCGCAAGGACCCGAGTTTGATCCCCTGTACCCACCCCCCCAAAAATTTGTCCATTTCATATGTAACTTAGATAATAGATGTATTTCCAATCCTCAAATAACAACTGTTAAAAGATTCTCATTGTTATGTAAATGAGCAAGAATGACACCAATATTTTGCATATCTTATTTTAGATGGGTATTTAGTGGGAAACTGATTAGAAGCCAAGTGTCCTAGAGTGTGTGATGAGAGAATATCACCACTTATTCTTCAATCACAAAAGAAAGTGTTAAGTATATTTTCAGGGTCCTTTAGTCTAATTTGAATTTCATGAAAGAATCAATCCATGAGTCATTCCCATAGTAACTACAAAGATATCCACTAGTTCCCTTGGCTGGGGCTGCATGGTAGAGGGTGAGAAACTGAGCGCAGTGGCTGGTCACTGATGGAAAGAAGCACTGGGGCAGGGGGTGAGCACTGCATGATCTGCCACAGCAAACCTACCTATGGCTTTGTGTACCACTGCACCAGAAAGGACTACTGACCGGATGTGTGTGAGACACCATATCAAAGACTGTAAAGATTGTTTCAATGTCACTGAAAGTATTTCCCATATTTTCCTAGGATAAGTCAATTGGAAGCAGCTGCAATCTAACAATAGTGCAACAGAAACTTTTTGACAAAAGCCAATAATTAAGAATAAGTGCTAAAACCCATCAGGGACCTAACGATATGCTACTTGCCATGTCCATTCACATTTCTAATTATAGACATAAAACACTTTAACAAAAATGCAAGGCAGTTTTGTGAGCAAAGTATGAAGACTCTAAAAATGTAGAAATGAAATGGTTTTAAATGTTTCTCAACATAGTAACACTGCACAGTGAAGCAGGCCACACCTAACACATCAATAGCCTTCTAGGGCCAGGGATTTAGCTCAGTGGTTCCACTGCCTACATTGTAAGCCCAAGGTCTGGAGTTCAATCCCCGGTACCAAAAACAAAAATCAAAAAAATCAATACACTTCTAAAGTCTTATGTTTTTCCTTAAAGACTGACAACTGATTGTCAAATATTACTAGAAATGTTTTAAAACTTCCTGGCAGAGGGACATGAACTATTCAGCGAGGCACATCCCTGTAATCCCAGAACTGGGGAGGCTGAGGCAGGAGGATTGCTGTGAGTTTGAGGCCAGCCTGGACTACATAGCAAGATCCTGTCTCAAAAAGCCAAACCAAACCAAACCAAGCAAACAACCCCTAAAATTATTCAAGTGGGAGAAAAAGCTTACAACCTCAAAACTATATCCTATGTGATTTATGTAAAATTGTAGAAAAATGCAAACTCTTCCACATTATTAGGAAACAGATCAATAATTGAGGTTTGGGATAAGGCCTAGGCTTGACTGCCTATGGACAAAAGGGAGCTTTTCATGCTCAGTATCTTGACTGCTGGGGTGGTTTTACAAGTACCTACATTTGTCAAAACTGAAGTTGCACAATAAATAGTTACAATTTATAGGTACATTTATTGTATACAAATCATACCCTAATTAAAAAAAATAAATAGATTGCCCTAAAATAGGCAAAAACAAAAAATACCTCAAAATGAAAGAACCTAGGCTATGCTTCACTTTCCTATAGATTGGAGAACAATTTTTCTTTTCAGACAGAACTCCACAATACCATTATTTGTATTTCCATTTTTTGGCACGTCTTTCAGGAAATGGAGAAATGAAGACACCCCATCTGCCAAATAAGGGAGTGTGAAAGCTAAAGCACCTCAGAACTTGGTAAGAATTTTAAATTATGGTATGGCAAAGTCTAGCACATAGGCTTGGGTTTAAGACACATGAGGGTCTCAACGCTGGCTTGTGGTTTCCTTATAGGATGGTTGCAAAGCTTCTGTAGCTGTTGGCTCATCACCTCAAGTTCCTCTTCTTTGTTTGGCATTTGATTTAAAATGTTGCCAGTGCTCTTCACATCATGGGGTGATGGTAGCCAGAGTCCCTATGTATGAGATTCTGCCTAAAAGAGATGATGATGATGGAAAAGCAGACCCAGGTGCAAGTCAACATTTTAGTTTAAGCTTTGTGCAGTGGCAGTATTATAGCCAGTGAGGTGTATCCAAGGCATGATTGTTGCTAATTGAAAACATTTTAGAATTTATTTCTTCACTTCATCTGATTACTGTGTAACTGATGTGGTCATGTAACATGGTATTACCAGCTCAGCTCAGCCTGTAACAGGTGATAAATACATACTTAAAAAAATGAGCAAATTGATGGACGAATTTACAAAAATGAAGGTTGGGTTTATAAAAATGTGTGCACACTTATAGGTTGAGAAGTTAGTTGATAAAGAAATGTAACTTAGAAAAACTATTATAAGCCAGACTTCTTATGAGAAGAATCATTTGTGTTGGGTTATGCTTCATATACATTAAGACTGATGAAACAGTGAAGAGCATTCATTTAACCTGAAATTTTGAAATGGAAAAAGGTATGCTGTTAATTGGCCACTTAGCCTTCTCAAAAATCAGGATTATAGTACATGGTGTGAATATTATAATACTGACATTTCAGTTTTTATTAAGTTCTGTGTTAGAGCAACACACTGCTATAGCGGACACATATTGTGGCTCACTTGGCAATATAAGCCATTTACCATTTTTATGTACCTGTTTAGAACAATCTGAATTTTATTTTTAAAAAATCTAAAAAGCTTCCTTTACATAGTATACACAAGAATTTCTCCATTACATCATTTTACATAAAATGTTCTAAATGACATTAGTAGAACTTACTACCACTTGAAGAGAAGAGTTGAGCGCTGGAAATCACACACATTTACATAAAGAAACAAGTTTCATAGGGAAGACCTGTGAGCTCTGGCTATTGACAGGACATGAAATTATGAACATGAAACAAACCTGAAGAAAAAAAAGACATTCAATGTCTTTTAGCCAAAAAAACCCCCCAGAAAACCAAAACCAAACCAAACCAAACCAAAACAAAACACCTTTTCATTTTGCTGTGTTGTTAAAAGGTAAATATTAACTGATTCAATTTCAAAAAACAATTTTTACTGCCAAGGAAGACTTCCCTCTAGAGGAGAGAAAAGCTTTACTTTCTTTACATGGAGGCAAGAATAAAACATAATTAATGTTTGTTCAGGGATTGTTTGTGAATTTCTTAGACTAGGACATTTAGTGACTTATTTGCCTGTTTGTTATTTCTACCCTCCCAGCAAAAGGGTTGGAATAAATTGAAAACCCAGAATTATTAAAAGGTTTGGCTCCCTGTTAACAGCTGTTTGAAGCTTTAATGAATGAAAACATTGATGAAACCTGATAAGGCTTTTAATTATCCATGGTATTCTTTTTTGCCATCTTTAGGGGATAATCAGAACTTAAAAAAAAGCGGTGAGACTGGCAGTGCAACTACTAAAAAGAGCTAGTAAGATGGAACTCTGCTTACTATTCAGGCAGAACTGAAAATCTCAAGGAATTTACTGTAAACAAACAAGCAACTGTTCAACATCTTCTGCATTTGGTACCATGACTAAATCTACGATTTTCTTCCATTTACTTACTTGGCTATTTTTAGGAAGTACCCGAATAAAAATGACAATAATAATATATTTTCTTTTAAGTATGCTAAAAGCACATGAATGTCCACAAATAAAATGTGAAATCTCTAATGCTAAATCTTAATGGAAGAATCAAGCTTTACCATTCATCCTTGAACATCACATGCTCTTGTGTGCCCAATAATAATCTCAGCTAGGTAATAACATTTTTGGAAATAAAAACACTCTCTGATTTAAATAAAGTGATAGAAGACACTTAGTTCCCATAAGCTTTCTAATTAAAATTTTGAAGAAGCTAAAAATGACACGGTTTAATACAAACTGTCCTTTACCTTTATTGCTTGTATACACAAGGGAATTCATTATAAAACTCAATGGGAGGAAAAAAAATAATGAAAGAAAAAGTTACCTACTTTAGCATTTTTAAGCATAGTTTTGGTAACTTCTTAGATCAACTTCCTTATCTGAAACAGAGCAAAAACTACAATACAATCATGACAGCATTCCAATAATCAGAGGAATTATATTTTCATTTTTAATTTTCTCTTCATAAAACATTAATGCTATAAAAATGAGACTGATGACATCCTTATTTAAAATACACCCCTTTACTGGTATCAAAATATGACTTATTTTAATACCAACTGAAAAAATAGATCTGTGTAGTTTATTATTTCAATGACATTATTAAGTTATTTTGAAGGTTGGTAACAAAGTTATCATTAACAATATAAATATTCTCTTTATAAGTGTTGAATTCTCTTAAAAGTGTTGAAAGGCAGCAGGCATTTCAGAAGGGGCTCACAAGGAAATCAGTTATTCCAATATCAAGGGCAAGCAGGATATTTATTTTTACTCCTTTAGCTTTACTAATTCCTTCTGATTTGCCTGGTTTATTCTTCATTTGATAGCATAAAAAGAAATCTAAGACCAAGCCTTTTAGCTGGAGTACTTCCATTTTCCATTATTTCTCTTTAGTTTTTTTTCTTTTTTAATATATGGTCAATCCAATAATCATTGCAGGAAGGAATGATCATTTCAAGTTAGATCATGTTCCTCTGCCTTTTAATTTCATTTAAGAGATACTAACATTAGAGTCATAAAAGGCTTACAGTTCTAATACACATACAAAATTAAAAATATTTATGCCTTACAAAAAAAAAAAAGAAAGAAAGAAAAGAAAAAAGAGCTCCAAACTGTGATGTGGTAGTATACACCTAGAATTCCAACAGTCTGGGAGGTTGAGGAAGCAGAATTGCAATTTGGGACCAGCCTAGGAAACTTATTCAGGCCTTGTTTAAAAAAAAACAAAAGCTTGAGATGTAGCTCAGTGCGAAGGCCCTGGGTTCAATCTCCCAATATGAACAAAATTAAAAAAAAAAGAGAAAGAGAGAGAGAGCACTCCATTTACTCAACAATTTTTACTCTACTGAAAAGTGGTAAAATTGCTCTTGTTAAATACAGCAGCCACCACTTATCTTTAAATATTTTACAGATGGAACTAAGTTCAGTTCTGATCCAAGGATGTGCTGGCATCAAAGCCCTCACTTTGAACTAACACTAAAGATTCTGTGTGCCTGTAATATACTACCAATTATGCTAGATTTATAATACCCTGTCTTTAACTTGGTATATACCATCTTTTGGGAAAAAAATATTAGTTTTTTTGAGATGAGATACAAGAACAAAGTCATTCTTGAGGTTCCACCTCTAGTATGGGAAAAAAGATGTTTGCACATAGCAGCTAGTTTGATACCCTGCGTTATGTTAGGCTAGCCTTCACACAATGAGCATGCATTTACAGCCGCAGTCCACCGCATGTTTTGAAGTCGAGAAGTGCTGTTCATCCAAGTCACAGATCTCATCATATGCAATAAGACATTGGATCTGCAGATCCACCATGAGAAGAAAATAAATGACGGAACAAATGCAGCAAAAACAGGCAGGTGGCATTCAGAACATGCCAAAAAAAGCTAACACTCAATGAGTTGTCATAAAGGTTTTTCTTTTCTTAAAAAAAAAGTCTTTCTTCACGTTTGCTAAAATGTGACGGTCCCAGAGAATCATGAAGTGCCTTGCCGTTTTTGCTGTTGACTTCTGATGACATCTAGTTGTTTTTTGCATTGTTGGTAGTAAGTAGAAAGGCTTTTGTTTTCATCTAAAAGCTTTTTATGTTCCTGTACCAGACGAGATGTATTTTGCTGGTCCTTTTCATCCTGGTCCAATTCTGCAACTAGTTCTTGCCTAAAAACAAATACCATATAACAAATATCATACATGATGGAAAATTCATACCTTAGTAGCTCATGATGAAAGCTCACTTAATAAGAACTTTTATTCAGAGTCTGTCTTTCTGCATCGTAAGTAAACTACTCAAACAGAATTATGAGCCAGAATGGAAACTATCACCCATTCTTCTGTGTAACCATACAAATATCATAATCCTTTCAATAAGTAGCTGTACTCAGACAATCAGTGAAGTACATAAAGTTTCAGGATCTTATATTTGATATCTTTTGTGTGAGGAGGAAGAAACGAGGCTCTGTTTACAGGAAAGTATCACTTTAAGTTTTCACATTCTACTTTTATACTCATTTGTATTCTGAAGTCACAACTGTATTTAACTACAGTGCCAAGTGGTATTTAACAGAACATCTGCAAGCTAATTAAAAGAGATGCTATCCGACTTAAAGCCCTTTCCTATTTTAACAGTAAGAATGATATAAAGTTCTACATTTAAACCACTTAAGTTTGCAAACATTTTCAAGAAAGATCATCAGTGTCTTTAATAGTTCCATAAAACTCTTTAAATCTCTTTTATTTAGGGGCTAAATAACCATTAGCTTATTATGAGGTTACTGGGCATAAACAAATAGTAAAATGTTCTCGAATAACTGCCTAATATTTCTCATTAAAGTACTTAAACTGATTAAAACTGTCACAATTTTCACATTCCCCCACATCTACCATTTATTTATTCTAGCACTCTAGAACTCTTCTTTCAAATGATTAAGACTGACAGGTTAAATATGTGAAGTAAGAAATGCACGTTTTTTTTTCCCAATATAAAATGCCAGCAGTTCCATAATTATTTCTGCAATTTCCAGAATATAATGTTTAATTTTCTACATTTTTGTATCAATAAATTTTCTATAAAACTATTTCTCTTTCTTTTATTTTGAAGCACAAACAGAAAACTTTTCATAGATTACTTAGAAAAAAATTTCATCAATTTAGATTAAAGTTAGTAGAGGGAATTCTATCACCTTACATACATAGTTGCCATGATTATTTTTCCTACAAAATTTGATTTTAGTTAACGTTCATAAACTGGCTTTATAAGTATAAAATTTCATGAGGGTCAAGCTTAGGAAAACTGAAATTTTTCTTTTCCTTTTCTTTCTTTTTTTAAAAGAACTGTGTATATAGTAGTGTGGAAACTGGACTAGATTTCTTAAAAATGGGAGGAAGGTAGTTTCTATAACTCTCAGAAAAACACACATAGTATAAAATTTTCTAGAAAAGCACTCACATATGACTTACAGCCCTGCAATAAGTAATACTACTCTCCTCTCTTAAACACACAACAGGAAAGAATATATCTACAAAAATGTTCGTAAGATAAAGGACAATTGAGTGTTAGTAAACCAGTGGTCAAGGAAACAATAAATTTTTATAACAATAAATTTAACTTTTAACTCTAAAACTCTGGGAACATAAAACACTTGGGTATATAGTGCCAGTTTATTTTCCTTAATACTAACATAATATGACAGAGTCAAAAGGTTGAGCTTTGTATAAAAACATAGGGTCAGGGCTGGGGAGTGCTCAGTGGTTCCAGCGCCTGCCTCGCAAGCACGAGGTCCTGAGTTTGATCCCTGGTACAAAATAAAAAAAAGAAAAAAAGAAAACATAGGGGCATAGTCAAGGGGTGCTTGAAACTTACCATAAATATCTATCTGGAAATATGTTTAATGACTAATTCTAAAATTAAAGTTTTTCATATCTTCAAATAATGCTGTTGCTTTATATATTTTGAACTCAAAATACTAACATTTAAAAAAATATATATAAAAGACTTACTTTCGCTGTAATAACAATGCAATTTCTGTTTGAACTTTCATATATTCTTGTGCCATTTTACAGTGCTGTTCAAACACTGCCATGGACTCTTTGGAGTTTGGGCATGGTGCTAGAGGCTGAAAATAAATCAGGAATGTTAAAACACAATTAAGTCAAATCTCAGAAACTAGCTAAGATGAGAGTTAAGACAGAGACTGCGATATATTTTTATAGCACTAAAGCAATGATATTTTAAAAATAAAGTGTTAAACCATGCCCTAGAAAAATCTCAATGTCCTTTTGTCAGAGTTGGCTCAGAACTTAAATTGATACTTGTGGTTTTAACATTTTCATGTTCCAGAGCTTTAACAAGGCCTGCAGTACTCACAGCCCCTGCTGACATGTTCTGGCTAAGTTGCCCAGGCTGGCCTTGAACTTTGACCCTCTTCCCTCTCCCTCTTGAATAGCTGGGATTGTCAGTGAGCGACCCTGTGTTTGACCCCCAGAGGTGTTTACAGCTCATAAACATTGAAACAGGGACACTGATGTGTATCACTGACATTTTCAGTGACTAGGAACGTAAGAACACACTGCAAAATGTACTAAATAGGGATGCGCTTTTATCAGTTTAATATTTTAACGCACTAAAATTAAAAAGTAAAAGCACTATGTTTGGTAGCTTTGAACAAAGATACAGAACTATTTCAAGATGACTATTAGGATAAGAATATACAAGTCTAGCACTCTTAAATAAGATTAACTTAAAATCATTTATTTTGACTGTAAAGTTTAAGAAGCCCAAGTATAAGTATAAGTAAAAAAACATACAATGACAAACAGGAACACAATTGGCAACTTCAAGGATAAACTCCCACTGGGCATGGTGGTGCATGCCTGTGATCCCAGCACTTGGGAGGCCAAGGCAGGATTACCATAAATTTGAGGCCAGCCTGGATTACATACTAAGTTCAAAACCAGCCTAAACTACATGGTGAAACCCTATCTCAAACAAAACAAACAAGAAACTCCCTAAGAAGAAAAAAGCAATATCCAGTGGAAAAGTGCTCTTTTACCTGTAGTTGGTGATCCAGTGTAAGATAAGCCATTGGGATAGAGTTATCTGATCCATTGGTATCTGGAAACCAAACGTATATTTTATTTATTTTCTGTTATAAGTAATTATAAACAGCAGCAAGAATGCATGCATAAAATATCGTGTCCCTTCCCCGAAGTAAATACCATTAAATAAACAGTTACTGCTATTAGTAATGAAAAAGGTCAATCTTTAATTCTAAAGGTAAAAGGAGGCATCTGATTACAGATACTAAAGTACAATCATGTTTTACAATATAAGTGAACTAGAAACTGAACAGAACACAATGTGCTTGTATACTCTTCTTTAATTAAAAACAAAGCCAGTGATATGTGACCTTTATATTTTAAATTCAGTCCTAACTGACCCTACCTAACCAAACCCCACATATCTTTATCATGCTACATTTACCACAGACCTGAGTCAACTGTCAATATCAGTGTAAGTAGGAAAAGCAAAAGAACAAGCATTCCCTTCCGGTGGGTCACTTTCAATCTATATAGACTCTAATGTAAACCCTCCTGATGGGAATCCCTGTGAAAAGAGAGATACTGACAAAAGCATATTACACATACAAAAAATATGGATATGAAAATGAGGTTTAGGACTGTGGCTCAATGTCATGCCACAACAAGGTAAATTGGCTAATTCAAACAACTCCAATAAATTTTATCAAATAATTTGAACAGATAGCTTTTATGTTTCAAAAGGGCTAAAACTGCCATAACTTGAAAGTGTTGTGGATATAAAGGCAAGGTCAGGATGACACTGGAGGTATCACACTCAATCCAGTACAATATGAAGGAGGTTTGATGGCTAACCTCTTAGTTTATTGATGATTGATACTCTCTTATTTTTTAAAATTTTACAATGCTAGGAATTAAACAAAGGGCCTTGATACCACTGAGCCACACCTTTTGACATTAAGAATGTGCTTGTAAGTAACCACTAAAGCTAACAAGCTAAATCAGAGCTAATGAGATAATGCATAAAAGGAACACCATGTAATGCTGGTATATACCAAGCACTCAACACTTGGTGGTAGTAACTATGATTATTACCAATGATACTAAATGGAAAATAAGGAAAGGGGGGCAATTTTCAATAGTTATGTTTATATTTCAAATTGAAAAGGTAATTTATTAAACAGTGGAATTCCATACAGAAAGAAAAAGAGTAGGGCCTAGCAGAACCTCAAAATACCCTAAAAACACACTAACATAAATGCTCTTTTAAGTACTAAACATGAACTACACTTAATTTGTTATTTCTCTAACCAGCCTTCTCACTTGCAGTAATAGTTTCAAACTACACAACCACAAACATGCTGCTTTCTGTAAAATCAAAACAGTAAAAATGACATCCCGACTTAACAGAAAAAATTAAGTATCTTGAAAAAGTTTTCTCAATTCAACATTTCTATTATTCTTTCCTAATTTAATGATACCGTCATACCTCATCATATCAGTAACCTATATGTATCTGAAATGTATTTTAGAATTAAGTATAATACATCAATGTTTCACAGTATACTGGGGGGTGGAAAAAAGCCCAAGCATCGTGTTATTCAAATAAAGTCCTTCTATGGCGGACAATTTAAATTAACTGAATTTCAACATTTTCCTAAAACCAAGAAGTGGGATTTTACTTTCTCATTTATAGCTAAACTGAAATTGAACAACTGGTCACAAGATAGCAAGGTTACTCCCCAAGAGTTTATTTTTTAATGTTTCAATTGCTAATCAAATCTAAACTCTTCTCCTGAATGTTAAGACTCACACTGGCTTGGTTAAATTAGCCAAATCTCTTTTCTGGTCCCTTAAACACACACTTGTTATCATCTCATATTCTTTAAGTATGCACTACCTTCATGTGGAATGCTGCTTTCTACTTTCTGCTTTATGACTAAATAATCTGAAAAAGTGGATTATGACATTTGTTGTTATTTGATTTCTCTCCTGTTAAAACACTCAGTTAATACTGTAAAGTTAGAAGGTAATTATATACTGTGATGAATTCATGTTAATGTGTATGGTGATTCTAATCATGGTTACAAGAACTGGGTCATACCTTATATGTCTGTTTTTGCACTCAAGTACTAAGAACAGAAAGAAACTCTTCAGTCTAAAGTTTCTTCCTGTGTGGTTCCCTTCACTGGGTGTAGGTATTTCTCTCACTTGGTCCTCTGGCTATATGTGCCTTTCTGTATACCTACTATATTACAAGTAGAAACAGAAGAACACTCACTATCTGCTATGATTAGTAAATTGTTATACTCTTCAGTTTTCTCTGAAAGTATAAACTCTTAGAAATTAAAAAAGTTTTAATTAATTAAGTTGTTTTAACTTATGTTTACACTCCTAATTTTTTTCCTGGGTGAGAAGGGTTTACCTATCTGTTCCCAATAATTTATTCTATTAGGGATACAATTTCTATGCAGGGATACATCTACAATCTGTTTCAAAGAAAAAAAAAATTCAACTGATATTACAACTTGTAAGATTGTCTAGCTTGTAAGATTTTCTAGCTATTGGTATTTTGTGGCATTTCCAGCTACTGGAAAATAAAAATTAAATGGGTAGAGACATACATGAAGTGGAAACAGTGGTTATAGGAGACAGTTATAAGGATTCTGATTTTACTCCCATGAACTGACAATCTGGTATATAAATCTAGGTTAGTCTATGCTGAAGTTAAGGAAGTTTTGTCAAGTTGAGTATTGAACCCAGGCAAATGTTATAATGCGAGGGAAGGTATCCTTTGGTTCGGGAAGCAAAAAGCTGGTATCGCCTGAATGTGAATGACAAAATCCAGCAAGAGCACCTTCCTGTCTACATGTTTCCCTGCCTATGACAAATTCTACACATGTGCTGAGTAGTGGTGAGCTGTGCTATGGATGAAACTTAGAAGTTTTTGCCATCACTAAATTTAAACTTACTAAAACTAGAAGAGTACACCCTGAGCTAAACATAGTTCTAACTTATGTGACACAGAGGAAAACCACCCAGCTAATTTTTTAAATTAAATTATAAACTTGACTAAACCATGCCAAATATCTATAAATAAATGAGTCATATTTTAGTTTGTAAAATCAGAAAGCTGACTTTTAAATTTGAAGCTAATTGGCACTATTACTATTAATAACACAGTTGATCTAATACAAAATCCTAAATGGCTTAATTTTCCAAGGTTTAAGAGATCACCTTTCCTTCTCTGACTTAATAAAATATAAATAAAAATTATCATTTAAAATATAAATAAAAATTATCACCTTATTAAGGCATTCTCTTAATGACAGAGAAAAGTTAATTGTACTGCAGCACATCATTTACTGAATGCCCATAATGGAATATTCCATCATTACCTCCAGACAGCCAGATTTTAATACTAATATTGTGACAAGTTATTCATGTTATCACTAAACAGTTGATTTTATTAATTTGAAAATCTAAACTACTACATAATGATTGCGTTTGTAAAGAATGAGGATAGGGGTAAATGAACATAAACATGATGAATTCAATTTCTTATTACAATGAAGAACTAGGCTGGTCACCTGTGGAATCATCAGGAGTCCATGGATGACTTCGGGTTGGCTTTTCTGAGGTTGGTCCTGAGGTAGTGATCATTCTGACACTAGGACTGGATGACCTACTGCTCACCTAAAAGAAAGAGTGACAGGAACAAAATATGATTCTTGATTAAATATTTGAAAAAATAAACTTTCTAAAATATTCTACACATACTTATAAAATTTTATACACATTCACACAGGCTACTCTTTCAAAACTGATGGGCTTGCAAGAAAGTAAAATACTCTTGAGATTGGAAGATCAAAAGAGAAGAAAGGCTTCCTTCTAGCCCTGGGGAACATCAATGGCCTATAGCTTTTGACTTGTTTGCTGGATGCACTGAAAGGAACACAATAAAGTCTTGAGCCTTCATAGTATGGAAATACAATGGGAAAAACTTCTATTTAAGGCTGTAAATCAGAGAAGGTTTTGTTGTCAGGCAAAAAGCGAATTAGGAAAAGAAAATTAGTAAATCTGTCATAGTTCCAGATGGAAGGGAGAAAATGTATCTGCAGTGCATCTATAAAAGTTTTAGTGGCAAAATAAAAGACAGATTGTAAGAAACAGGGAGCTAGACTTTGTGGATATGGGAAAGGGATCTGGGGGTGGGGGAGATGCGACAGAGGTAAGGAAAAGGGGAAATAAGAAGGATTAACATATGATATTGAACCAATACTCCAAGATGAATGTATTTATTATGTGTCACAAACATATATTAATGAAAGAAAAGGAGGGAAAAAACAAGTGTAAAAATATTTCTGAAATCAATGGAAGGTACAATAATCCCAATTATGACAAATCTCAAGTAAAAAAAAAATTAAAGAAAACCCATATCCCGAGGTCAACATGGGCCATACATAGTTTCTAGAAGATAGACAAAAGATAGAAAAAGCAGGCAGAGGACAAAGGCAGATCACAGGTTGAACATCCCTAATCCAGAAATTTGAAATGAGAAATGCTCTGAAACTCAACACTTTTGAGTGCTGACATAATTCCACAAGTAGAAAATTCCACACCTGACCTCATGAGACAGGTCACAGTCAAAACACATAAATATACTAAAAATACTGTAAAAAATTTTGACTTTAAAGCTCTCTCTCCTCACCCCTACTTATGTATTATATGGTACATATGAAATGCAAATGAATTTCATATTTAGACTTGAATCTTATCCCCAAGATGTCTCATTATATATATGCAAATATTCCAAAATCTGAAAAAAAATTTGAGCCCTGAAATAATTGGTCCCATACATTTTGGATGAAGTATATTCATCTTGTATCTACAAAAGAATTTAAGTTAAATTCTCTATGGTTATAATGTAAGAGAATTCAGAAAAATATAGTAGAATAATACCAATCTAGAAGCGTTTAGGCAACAAAAATGTAAAGAATGGGATCAGAAAAACAGTATCAGATGAGCAAAACTGGTCTGTTTGAACCACAGGTATTTCTAAGCATTACACTGTAGCAAGAAAAAAAAACTTCTCCTTGATAAAAGGGCCAACATGCCATGAGGAACATCAATAAACAAGGCATAAGTCTACATACTTAAATATTAAGTGACAGAAAGTGACTAATTTATAAAATTTCCAAGCAACTAAAAAAGATAGTAATGAAATTACTATTCTGAGTAACAACAGCATAAGCAAGAAGCATAAGCTGATTTTAAAATCTAATTACTACTTAGGATGAGTCAAGATTTTAACAAGATTGGGAAAAATTTCAAAGTTATTTACTAAAAGTAGTAAAATACAACTCCAAAACAAGAAAAAGCAGAAGAGAAATATATTCAATTCAAAAGATGGCAAAGGAGAAAAAAAGAGGAATAAGAAAAAGCATAAAATAAGAGGGAGAAAACAGTAAAAATAACAAATAAAACGGTTAAACTCTTCAGTTAAGATATTAAAAAGAAAAAATACTATCAGATTGAATTAAATGCTGTTTCTAAGAGATGGATCTAATTCAGAGAAAGAAAACAAAGTTAAAACAATTTAAAAAAATAAGTAAAATTATCCAGAATAAAATTAAGTATCTATATTAATATTACAAAGAATACATTTTAGGTCAAAAAATTACTAAAGATTAAAAATTTTAATTCACAATATGATAATTCACAATTTATATGCTCTACTCATACACAATTCTAATGGGTAAAGCAAAAAACCAAACCAAAATAAAGAAAAACTGCAAGGAGAAAGGGACTCATCCATCATCAAAGTGAGATACTTCAGAATTTTTCTGTAAATGATATATAAAAGCAGGCCAAAAAACAATACAGTACGGTAAAACTTCAACTCCACACAAGAAACAATCCTAGGACAAGCAAATGGAGAATAGGGATATTTTTTCAAACCTTAGGAATATTTATGAAAACTGTTCATGGACTAAGCCATAAAGCAAATCTAAAAAAACATGTATTATGTAAATCATAATGCAGTTATCCTTTGCACTGACTTCAAAATTAACTTTAAAAATCCTATGGCAAAAAAAAAAAAATCCTATGGCTATACAGTATAAAACCCTTCTAACTAACTCACTGGTCAAGGAAAACAAAATGAAAATTAGAAAATATTCAAACTGAAGGATGCAACTAAAGAAACACTGAGAGCAAAATATTTAATACTAAATACTGAAAAGAAAACACCAGAAAGTACTGACAATTTGCAAGCAAGGGATCTAAACTGTCTTGCAAAGAGCCAAGCTATAAGTCTTGCCAAAAGAAGAATAGAAAAATATTTTTTAAAAACTGGGCAAATATGATAAAAATTTTGTTCCTAGTAAATTAAAAGAGTGAAAAGAATAAATGTTCAAAAATACATAAATTACCAAAATTTATACACATTAGATAAAACACCAAGCCCAGAGGATTTTACAGGTAAGTTTTAGCAAGTATTTAAGAAAATGACATTTCCAGCCTTAAATTATTCTAATAAAGAGAAAAGGGAAAATACTTCCTGACTCATTCTGTGAAGGCAATAAAATCTGGTCAATAAACAAGAACAGTATGAGAAAGAAAAAATATTAGCTACCCTCATGAAAAAGGCACAAAGTCAAAAGCCCTAAAAGATGTATGAGCAAATGGAATTTGGCAATACAAAAGCAATGAAAATCATTTAAAAAGTTGAGTTTATTCAACAAATGCAAACTTAGGAATTCTATTAATGTAATTCATCATATTAAGGAAAAAATCTCAACAGATACATTAAAGACATTTATTAAAACTTAACATTCATCACAAACTTAAAGATAAGAATTTCTTAAGCAGATAAAGGAATTTATGAAGTTTGAAAACATGGTACATGATATCCCATGGCACTGTGGGCTGGTGGGAGGATGACAAGGAAGTTATAGGTAAGAAACACACAGAGTCTCTCGCTGGGATTGCTAATGTTCCACTTTTGTTTTTTTGGTGGTACTGGGGATTGAACACAGAGCCTTTACCATGAGCTACATCCCAGCCCATATTGAAGTTTTTACTTTGATACTCGGTCTCATTAAGTCACTAAATTACCCAGGCTGGGCTTGAACTTGCGGTCTTACTGCCTCAGCTACCCAGTGCTGGGATTACAGGCGTATGCTACTGTGCCCCACAACATTCCAATTCTTAAGATGGGTGGTCAGTTCCATTTTATTATCAGTTTTCCAACTTACAAATTATTTATATTTCTATGTATTCATATTTCATAAAGGATTTTTAAAACATCTTTTTCTTCAGTGTTACTGAATAGCAAAAAGGTGACTTAAAAAAGAAGTGTTACAGAAAGTAAAACATTAAAAAAACCCATAAAGAATCTTATGTCCAGTTTCAATATGTAAACATAAAAGCACTAAAATTCAAAACTGCATCAAGTAAAATGCGAGTCAATATAATAGTGGAAAGTATATCTGATTCTGTGTGTTCTGCTTTAGGTCACTTCAATAACTTGTTTTCTTTATCTGGAGAAGGGCTGGGACTGGGTTAAGACTATGTGACTTCTTAAGAGTTTCACACAGTGCTAAAATTCTATGCTTTTAAAATGTGGAAAACCCACAGTAGAATGAGATACTAAACAGTGGAAGGAACTGTTATAATTTCTGAGATAAAATCATAAAATAATTTTGAAGAAAAATTCTTGAAATATTACTCTCATCTTGGGTATATGAAACCGCTTCAGAAATTCCAAAATGCTTTTCTACACCAAAACAGTTTTTAACTCCTTATAAGACTGTGTCAGAAAAGCCACTCTTACAAAGGTGGCCTGTATATCATGATGAATATTGTACTCTCTCCTTGCTAATTCCTCCCAATCCTATAATGCCCAGCTCAGATTCCCTTCAACATTATATGGCCAATTTGTTACTGCTTTTGCCCTTTGTGCACAACCTCTGACCCCATGTTTGAGGACCAAGTAAATGCCTAGCACTGTCCTAAATGCAAAGTGTTCACTTATTATTGGATCAATTCTGAAATTCTCAAGCATTCCTGACCCTACCTCAGCAAGTATACATTAACCATTCAGATTCTCTCTTCTCCTACAATTCCTTATGCCATTGTTTTACTACTAGGTTTTCATCCTGACTCCGAATTCAATCAAGAATAATATAGGATAGTGCACAGAGAATGCACAAAACTGAACCACATAAAATTTGTTTTTTGTAGGTCACAGTCAACTCTCAGCAACTGCACATGGTTCAGTCTAGTAGTCTGGATACCTGGGTTTAAATCTCAGTTCTGCCATTTTTTGCTGTGTGAACTTGTATAAGTAACTCTTCCTCTTTGAGCCTTAGGGTCCTCATTTATAAAGTGTGGACAAGAAATAGTAATAAGTAAGAGGTTAAGTCTCCAGAGTTTGAGTTTCTGCTTTAATATGGTTACAAGTAGTGCAGCTTTAGGTAAATTACGTAACCTCTAAGACTCAACAGTAAAATGACAATAGTATTACCTATATCACCAGGTTATAAAAATAAAAAGAAATAATGTACATTTAGTGTCTTTCTTCACACAATAACAATGCTCCTTAGGTGCTGGATACTAAGCTGGTTGTAAGAACAAGACGGGACTATGAATAGACTTGCAGCAACTAACAATTCTCTTCCTAGTTTAAAATC